ATCCAATAACCTTTTTTTTAACCTTCTTTTTCCTCTCTTTTTCTTTGTTAGCTATGCATCTTTTTATTCTTCATTTTGTAGACAAACTTCAACAATAATGTGTTTAAGAATTTCCTTATATGATCAAATATATAGTGTAACTTTCTTACTAAAACTAGGGGTGGCAACAAGTTCAATCGAACTTGAGTACTAGCATGTTCAAGCTCGAGCTGGAACTATATTATCTGAGCTTGAACTTGATGAATCTCCGATTTTAAAGTTTGAACTCGACTCGTATAAAATATAAGGACTCGAGAAGCAAATTGAGGTCAAGTTTGTGCTCGAGTTTGAGTGATAAAATATGTAATTTATTCTAAAAAAAATGTTTTTAGGTAATTTAATAAGGATTAATCTTTTGAAATAATAGATTTTTTAGATTTTAATATATATATATATATATTTACTTATTTAAGTATATAATGTAAAATATTTTCTGATTTTTACTAGTCAAAATGTTTAACTTATAAAGATTTTTTTTTTAAAAAAATTCAATAATCTAAGAGAGGAAAAGCTAATTTTATAAAATTTTGGGGGGCCCTCTAATTCTGTCCATGATCACAAACCGATTGCCTTTACCTAATAAAAAAGAAATGAGATTTTCCACTTTGCATACTACTTCTTACGTCCCGTGAGGATGTGACAGCTTTTCTTTTGTGTTTGTTTGAAATTATAGAATTGTTTTCTTTTTGAAAGGGTAAATTAGTATATGGATGTATTAGTCATCCATTCTACTAGAAGTATTAAATACAATACTAAAACAAGTATTAATAGAAGGGGGGGCATATAAGAAAACTACTAACCAAAAAGGATTCCAATAATTATCCTCTTAATTTGTGTAAAAGTGAAAATAAGCTTATTTTTATGAGATGGAGTGCAAAATATATAACTAGAAAACCAGCGGTGAAAAAGAGCTTATTTTTATGAGACGGATGATGGAGTACAAAATATGCAACTCGAAAATCAATGTGTCAGTATAACTATTTTTAAACTATTTAATAATTTTCGAACACATTGCAATTCATTTTAGATAGTTTGTATATGTTTGTAATAAAAATGTTACATTCGACTCCGATTTATGTAAGCCCGTAAATGTCCAATTCATCAATGTCATGTGGCGTTCTCCTTTCCTTGAGATTTTAACGTGACATTCTGGGCCACTTTTGGAGCCTACACGGCAGGTTCTGAATCATCTAATAGTGGGCTCCAAACCTTGGAAGGTATCAGCAGCATCAGCAGCAGCAGAATCGTAGGCTTCTAAGCTTATGTGACAGTTGACACCAAATACCAAATTTGTGAGTTCGCATTCTCAACCTTCTCGAACTTGTATTTTGTTTCCTGGAAGAAATTAAGGTCCCTCGATTCACCTCAGCCGATGATAGAGAAAGGGGGCAAATACAGAACTACCAATGATTTGTAGGTTGAAAAAAAAAAAAAGGAATTTGTCTGGTTGAATTCAGTAATTGCAGCAATAGAGAAATCGATAATTGAACACACACTTCCTTTTGGCCTACACCTTTTGCAGAGAACAAGAACAAATGACAGATGCAGATCAGATGAGGGCTCCACCTAAATTTCTAGGAAATCACCTAAATTCGCAACCCTCAGATAGTTTAATAGGGCATTTCAATTCAAAAGAATTATTACTTTCTGTTTTATCAATTAATAAGAATATTACTAAGGTTTTAGCCTAGTAGCTAAAATTTAAAATCCAATAATTAGAGACCTTTAGCTCAAATCCCCCTTCCCCATCCCCTGAAACAAGGACTCAAAAATAGAGAATATTACTAACAACAATAATAGTAATAACAATAATAATCCTACAGCAGATGAGGAGAGGAGCTTGGAAAATCCTGTACTCTACTTTTCCCACAGAAGATGCAGGAGATGTGGAAAAAGTCTATGGAAACCCTTTTTAAGCATGTGATTATCACTTCAAGGTATGTTTCATATCCCATAACATAAGTTTATGCTTATCATACATATTCGTTTCTCTCCCTGTTGGTACTGATTTGATCAGTTCTTCTTTCTTTTCTTATTTTCTCTCATTTACATGTAAACTTCAAATTACCGACAGGGGTTCTCATTATTGTATATGGATGTGTATGAGGTATATATTTCATGAAAAGAATATATATATTTCATGTCGTTATTCGCCTATTTCTTCAACGTAATTGAGGAAAAATGTCTTCAACATACCATACCATTGGATGTTGATGCATCCGCAATCTTGAGGGCCATTTTTCTCTGGCTGATTAGCTAAGCGTTTTGATGGATGGGTTGGGGGAGGTGGCTGCACGCAAAGCTGTTCGACTTGCAAAAAATTACGGGCTGTATCTTGGAAGGAGATTATGCTTCCATTATTCAAGCCTTGAGAAAAGAAGAAGAAGATTATTCAGTGATAGGACCTTTAGTTAATGAAGTTTAATTAGCAGCCTTGTTAGAATTGCATTTTAAAAGTGTTGTGCATGAATTCGCCCATTTTGCCAAATATATATAGCAACCAATTTGTACTTCTGTGGAATTTCCATCAGGATTTTGTCTAGCATCATTTCATGCTAGACCATATCCAACAATTTCAACGGTAAAATTTGATTTCGAATCTTCTGTTATACAAATAGGTGTAACATCCAAATTACCCTGCTCCTTAAGTGGTATTCATCTTGTAATATTTGGTGCATAATACCACTGGGTTAGTTAGTGTACACTAATATTTCAGTGTAAAGTTATACCAAGTATTAACGTACACCAAATTACCAGTGAAACAGCACGCAAATATTGAAAGATGTATAGCATAATATGGGCGTTGTGTAACAGAGAATCTGGAGCCATAAAGCTTGTTTCTTGTTTTATGTAAAAAAAAAAAAAAAAAAACGCCAAGGGAAGTAGTTATATATACCTAACAATATCATTCATCTAATTAAAACATAACTAATTAATTAGTAACTATTGTTATGAAAAATTTTTCTGACCAATACGTATCTGATATCAAAGTGTCAAACCACCAAACTTTCACCCATATCTTCACCAGATCGACTTGAAGTTTGTACAAGTTGGGTAAGTTTGAGTTTGGGGTAATATGATCACAACGTTCTTGGCTCTAAAACTGGTTAGAATTTGTTCCAAATTTCGCAACCTTCAGATTGTTTAATAGTACATTTACATTTAAAAGGCATAGCCGCCTTCTGTTTTCTCCTTAATTATAATTATATTAACAACAATGATAATCATAGTACGTACGTAGTAATAAGTAATATTAGTAATAACAATAATGCAGATTATTATATAACAGATAACAAGAGGAAAATATTGTAGTACTTGTAACTCTCCCACAAAGGATGCGTGAAACGTGGAAAAACTCTATCAGAAACTTTTCAAGCATGGTAGTTAGATGTTCCTTCCAAGTTCCAAACCAGCCCCATCTTCATCCAGTATAAAGATGTATTAATTTCTCTGGTCATTTTCTCTCTATCTCTCTATCCCTGCAGTTCAATGTTCGGATCTCCACCAAGTTGACAATATATATATATATATATATATATGGGGTTATAAATTCAGGTATTTTCTCATATCCCATAACATAAATTTATCCTGATCATATTCATTTCTATACTTGTTGGTATTTTGAGCTTTTCTCATTATTGTACATGCGCATGCGCACATATATATACACATACATGTACATGTGTGTATGCGCGCACGCACGTGCCAATATAAGCACAAATGAATGTGAATTGGATCAAAAACACAAACGGTTGGAGGACATATACTATCAGATTGACGCTTTTCCATCGATTCTCATTTTATCCAGGACCACTCAACTCTTTCCCCTCCACTCTTGATCTCCAGATCTGCATGCAAATGAACAAAAGTAGAATTCCAAAATTCCAGACCTACCGAGCAATTGGAGACATTTTATTTAAGGATTTTCCAGATTAAACTGTCTTTGCTCTCACATATTAGATGACCTAACAAAAATTGCCGCTATAGTGGATAGACTATTAATTATTGCTCGTGTGATGTTATACACATTCTTTTTTATTTTTTTTAACGTCAAAATTTAGAAGTACTCCTATAAGATTTTGAATGCAAGAGATAGTTTCTCCATTGAAAACTGGGATGAGTTAATATATTCCTCAGTTGGTTAAAATCCATTGTTGTGCTTATAAAAAAAAAGGCCATGGAAGAAGTCAGAATAATTTTTTCAATAAAAAGGGGTGCCATCCTTATCATAACCAGATTCATTGGTATGGTAGACCACAAAGAAGAAAAACGAAAACTGTGGGAAAAAACGGACAGAAACAAAAAGGTTAAGAGGATGAGCAGATGTGGCAATGTTTCGGCACATTTAATGGCTCTTTCTTGCGATGGTTGCGTTTTATGATTGGATAATTTTACCTTGGACGTATTCTCTGCTTCGGCAGATGATGTGAGTCAATGAAAATTTTATTTTCATTTTAAAAAAGGAAAAAGGAAGTAGAAAAATCCATAATGTTGCATATACACTTGTAGGTAGTGGAAAATCGGCAGGACCATTTTAACGATATATTTCTGTATTACCATGTACTATATTATTTCTCATGGCTGAGTTACCATGCTAAAGAAAAAAGAATGTAAATCTCAAATTGTTATTAGAATATTTTTGCAAGGTAACTGAGGTAAAAATACCTTAAGCATACCCCCAAAATCAAGAAAAAATAAGCAGGCATATATACTAAGATAGCAAACTAGAAACTAGCATCTCCATCTCCTCTGAGACTGAATAGAAATTGATATCTCATGCAGGTAAGCACTTGGAGATACACATAGTAACATGAAAAATGTTGGATAGGTTCAGCATCAATAGTCGAGAGAGTGAATAGTGAAAAGTGTGTACATGACCTCATTTGAATTCCATCCATCAAGTGTCCTTCCCAACTCTCTTCTGCTCTTTCCACAAGACAATACACAGGGACATAGAAATGATGGATGACAAACACAATTCTATGAGCATTGTTATGTACCCATGGTTTGCCATGGGCCATCTCACTGCATTTCTTCATATGTCTAACAAGCTTGCCGACGGAGGCCACAAAATCTTCTTCTTGCTGCCCAGAAAAACACAAGCCCAGTTGAAACAGTTCAATCTCTATCCAGACCTCATCGACTTCATACCCTTATGTGTTCCTCAAGTTGAAGGCCTTCCTCCTGGTGCAGAAACCACTGCTGACATTCCTTTTCATTTGCAACCTAATCTGCGCCTAGCAATGGATAGCACACAGCCCCAGATTGAATCTATTCTCCAAGAGATCAAACCCCAGGTTGTTTTCTTTGATTTTACACATTGGTTGCCAAAACTGGCTAGGCGTTTAGGCATTAAATCCATCTTCTTTATCACCATGAGCTCTGCGACGTCGGGCTACACCTTTCGGGGAGAACAGACGACAGATGCTGATCTGATGAAAGCTCCGCCTGGTTTTCCTTCTTCCTGCATTAAGCTCCTTAGTCATGAAGCACGTGGATTGAATTTTGCTGGAAAGGTTAAGGAGATTGGTAGTGGTTTGTCGTTCCTGGAGCGCCTGTTAATAAGTGCTGAGGATTGTGATGCCATAGGCTTCAAGACTTGTAGAGAAATGGAAGGCCCTTATTGTGAGTTTATTGAAAGAAAGTTCAAGAAGCCGGTCATGCTTGCTGGACCTGTACTGCCAGAGCAGGCAACCACAACTCTGGAAGAAAAATGGGAAAAGTGGCTGAGTGGATTCAAAGCTAAAAGTGTGATTTTCTGTGCATTTGGCAGTGAATGCAGACTACAAAAGTATCAGTTTCAAGAACTACTTAAGGGACTTGAGCTAACAGGTCTTCCCTTTTTGGCTGCCCTTAAACCACCTATAGGATCTGAGACCATTGAAATGGCTTTACCAGAGGGTTTCAATGAGAGAATTCAAGGAAGAGGTGTCGTTTATGGAGGTTGGGTGCAACAACAATTGATTTTGGCGCACTCTTCTGTGGGGTGTTTTGTTACTCATTGTGGTTCAGGATCATTATCAGAGGGTTTGGTGAATGAGTGCCAGATGGTGCTGCTGCCACAATTTGGAGATCAATTCATCAATGCAAGACTTATGGGTGGAGATCTTAGAGTTGGAGTTGAAGTGGAGAAAGGCGATGAAGATGGATTGTTTACAAAAGAAGGTGTTTGCAAAGCTATAAGACTGGTGATGGATGATGGCAGTGAGATTGGAAAGGAGGTGAGAGCTAACCATGCTAAATGGAGGGATTTCTTGTTAAGAGAAGGCACCGAAAGTTCTTATATTGATGAGTTTATTAACAAGATAAAAGGGCTGTTGAACTAATGGTGGATTAATTACATATTAAAATTCCATTGTGATTCCATTTCATTCCTCATGTCTGGCTTTTGAATTTAAATAACTCGGACTCCTTTTTCTGAACTTTGTTGAATTCTCCAGTAAAAGATAATGTAGCAGGATCAACATTTTTTGCCGCACTCATTTTCTATCGAGATGATCAAATATATCCTGTAATTACAAATTTGCGTACAATTCTCATCGTTATCTTGGAGTTTACTTTGTGATGTGATGTTTTCTTCCCTGTTTATAACGCTAAGTAGGAAATTAATATAACCTGATGGTTTGGCATCTATAAGTGTAAGTATTAATCAAGTGCAAATTTCAATTATCTCCAGCTTTTGCGGATGGTATTTCTTAGCATCTTTTTACACAATTTGACATTCAAGAATTATGCTCTTTTTGACATGTGATTAATTATCCCATACATTCTATGATCCTTTTTGTCTTTGTTGTTTCACAATTCAAATTGTCCCAAGTAATAACCTTAATTACTTGTTAGAGTTATCAAGTAGTTTTGAATTTTTACCTGCTGTTGACCACTGAAACAGATGGAACTAAATCAAACTCTACTCGATGATCTTTACTAATGACTCAATTAAAGATGGCCAAGTTTAGTCTTTAATTTGTTCTGGTAACCACATCCGAAAACTGAAAAATGAAATCTTAGAATGATTTTCTTTGTTAACTCTTTTTCTTTGCTTAGAATTGACAAAGGCCTTGCTTTCATTATCTCAATTTATTCCTGGCCGTATAATATTTTACTAAGATATATGCAATTTCCCCAAACTTGAATGTTGTCTAAGAAAACAAAAGGGGAATAGTAGACCCTCAAATTTTGCTCCTCATAGTGGCTATCTAGTATCTAAGCACCGTCCATATACTTTGATTGAATTCTGAAACAGAGAATCATGGATTAATCCAATCGTCAATAAGCCCCCAATATTAGTCTCTTTCATTTTCATTTATATCTTTTATAGGTTCCTAAGCTAAATCAAATATGTCCTTGTAATACCTGGAGAGCAAAATTCAAGACTAAATCAGAACTCAGACAAAATTACATTACACTGGGAAAAAAAAAATTTCTCAATCTGTAATAATGGTTAGAGTATCAATTGGGTTTTACGAGTTGGGCTTTAGTAGGACCAAATTATTAACATATGTAGGCGAATGCCATGGCTCAAAAGGGCTGCTTATTTTGCTGACGTGGCCAATGGTTATTGGTTGCAGTGTGTTCGTCCATCTGTGTTTTTTTTTTTTCCGAAACGTTAGAAATTTTATATCACAATCAAACTATACACTGTTGGAGCAAGGGCTCCTATTTTAACATTAGTGCATTTAGCACTCTGGGGTGGAGTAATTCCACTCCATGTCACAAAAGTTTAGAAGAGCAATTTTGCTCAAACTATAGCATAGGCTATCAATGTCCTCATTTAACCTATCAAAGAAGCACATTCGAAACCATGAAGTCATCTGCTGTATGTCCTCTATTATCGTGGCTGACTCCAAGCTTCTATTATCGTGTTCGTCCATCTGTGTGTGTGTGTGGTTTTTTGACTTTTCCAAACAAACAAATGCAGATATGATTGATGGGAGAACTTACCTGCTCCCAACTTTTCATTTCAGTGATGGTAGCGGTTCCTTTTCTCCACTCCTTCATTAACCATCCGACTCCCTCTCTCTAATCCTTACTTTCTCTTTCGTCTCGTCTTCTTCCTCATCCTCACGAAGAAAGTTGCACTTTTTCTCTCTTCAATTTTCTTTCTGATAGACGACAACAAAATAAAAAAAAAAGTTGGAAACCTCTCAGTTACCAGCACCAGAAATGGCTTCCGCCGCCGCTCTCCCAGTAGTTACTGTTATCCCTCTTGAGAATGAAATGGAGGCCGACGCCAACTCCCTCCCTCTGCCTGACGTCATGAAAGCCCCAATCCGCCCCGACAAGATTTGATCTTTGGGGAGGTTGGGTAAATGGGTTGTTTTCCTTGTTTTGATTCGAGAGTGGAGGAAAAGCTGAATCCTCAGAATGACAGCGATGGTCCTAAAGAAGTCCACCCAGCTATCCCTTCTAACTTCTCCAGATTATCTTATGGTAACACTGACTCTGGTTATTTATATGTGTTCCTACTATGTGCACTCTTCTTTGATCTGATCTGGATGCTATTGTGCTTTCTGTAATTTCTCCATTTCAGCTAATTATCTTACTTTGATTGACTTGTTTCCGACAGATTTATATGTATTACCGTTTGTATATATATATATATATATCCCAAGCTGTGGTTTAAAAAGATGCTTTCTCTTTTTCCATTCTAAAGTCAGATCTTAATTGGATTTATAGTTGTTCGATTTGATTGATAAGGGGGAAGACATAATCTTGATTGTTGAAATGATTGATTTGGGTGTCTTCTTCAGTTGGGTTGCCATAGAAGCTCAATCTTGAAAACCTAGCTTTCACTCACGAGTTGTAAACGTTCTTTTTGGGATAATTTGTTCATGCCAACTTTTATTAGGTCCTCGTGACAAGTGCCTATTGCCTCGCATAATACCAGATTTCGGATATTTTGCTTTCATAAGTTCTTATAATGGTTTGTCATGATGGTGCAGGAGCTGATAGACTCAAAACAAGAAGCAACGTTGGGTCGAGAAAAGAATCATCAGGGCTAAAGGATATGCCTGATGTGCAGATTGCTGCACAAACATTCACTTTCCGTGAGCTTGCTGCTGCAACAAACAATTTCAGGCAAGAGTCTTTCTTAGGTGAAGGAGGATTTGGACGAGTATATAAAGGGCAGCTTCCGTCGGGTCTCTTCCTTTTCCCAGAAAAGAAATATTTAAGGTTACAATTTGTTTTGCTCCTGATTCAAACCAACTCCTGATTTCACCACAAAATAGTAGTATATATTTTTATTTTTGTGTTGTCTGCCATAGATCGAAGCAGGGTTTGGGGTTTGAATGGGTTACCCTTATTCCATTACTGGCAACTTATTATTCTATCAGTTAACCCACCTCATCGTCTTTTCTGAAAATTCTTACTGGTACTAAGTAGTTCTTTATGATAAAAGCTGATGGTTCGATTACCTTTCATTTTTCCTTTTATTTTTCCTACTTTTTTTTTTTACATTATTTGGGGAATGGATTTCCCCGAGTTATTGTGCTCGTGCTGCTCTCCGTGTAAATTCTTCGTCTCAGTTCTTTCAACTCTATGCTGACTTAGGGCCTATGCTTACTATTCCTGAAAGCAAAATCTGAGGCTGAACCACAGCCTTATTCCTTTTCATCAACATTTTTTTTAATATTTGGAAATATTTAGTTCAGTTGTATCATGGAGGTTTTATTATTCAGTACTGAATATTGGGATTTAGAAATCTGATGTCTTAATTTATTACTGCAGTAATATTTGATTTTTCGTCTGGAACACAGGGCTTCTGATTATCCTAGAGAATATGATGGAGCTTGCCTTCAGATGAGACTATCATATAGTCCTTGTGCCCACATTTTTCTCTTTCTCGTCCAGTGGACAGATTGTCACCTTGCTGGAATTCTTGGTTTCCTCAGGATCCTTATTTATAAGGTCATTTCCTATCTTCTTGATCTCGTTCCTGCTGCTACACTCTTGCTCTTGTTTCTTTCGTTCCTCTGGTAATGATAGTCGGTAAGATGATTTTGCAATTGCAGGCATACGAAGATGGTAAGACATCCATGTCCGTTCATGAAGGGAAAGCTACTATAAAGGAGTTTTATAGTGCCTTTCTGCAACATTCCTAGAGTCGAGGTGGCCCACGTGGACCGTTTGAATTTGTTGAAGCTTGCCCTAGGAGGTCACGTTGGGAGGTTTATTGTTTGGGCTAAATCAGCATTTGAGAAATTGGATGAGATTTACGGGTTATTTGATAAGCCTTCCTTGGAGAAGAAGGGGTCTGTTTTGCCCAGGGCTAAGATGGTGAATGGTGATTTGGCCAGAATTATCAACTCTGATGAGGTGCTGGTGATTTGGCCAGAATTATCAACTTTGACGAGGTGCAATCTGTGGTGAGGCCAATCAAGAAGGTGGTGAAGAGGGCACCAATGAAGAAGAGCCCGCTGAAGAATTTGAATTGTCTGCTCAAGCTCAATCCTTATGCCAAGACTGCTAGGAGGATGGCTCTCTTGGATGAGACACAACATGTTGAGGCTAAGAGGGAGAAACTGGCCAAGAATAGGAGTCCAATGACGAAGGAGGAGATGTCTGCTGTAAAAGCTGCTGGAAAGTCGTGGTACAAAACAATGATCTCTAATAGCGATTATGCTGAGTTCGAGAACTTCTCAAAGTGGTTGGGTGTGTCGCAGTGATTGGTTTCACTTTAAAAGTCAGTCTGTTTTGTTTCAAGTCGGCTACTTGGTAATTTAAGACGTACAAGAGCGTAGGTTGGAGTGAATTAAGAGGATTAAATCAGTTTTTCTGTTTGTATACCAGTTGCGTGGAGTTAATTTCTCAGGGTACCGAGAAACCTTTTTGCATTAAAGGAGATCACCTAAACTCAAGGAGTTAATAGCTTCTTGTTCTGAGATATTCAGCCATCAACTCTATTTTCTGGTGCTTGATTATAAATGTGACATGATTTTTAACATTCAAAAAAAATCAAAAAAGTTGGCTGGAATTTTTTTGCTTCAAATACTTTTATTGCTTCATTTTTCCCAAAGTATCTTTATTAGTCTTTTAGTTCTTTTTTTTCCCTCCCGATGGACAAACAAAATCAAAAGACTGGGTGGAATCTTTTTGGTTTCAGAAACTCTTCTTACTTCTTTTTTTCCAAAGCATCTTTATTAGCCTTTTGGTTTTTTTCCTTCTATTATTTACCAGATTAGTTGTCTAATTTTTCCCTTTTATGATGTTGTGATGTTGCAGGTGCATAATCTCGAAATTTCCTCCACCATCGTCATGCGGTTTTGTAAGTTTTGTTTTTCCCTTTTGAAGGTAGATTCTATAAGGTTATTTTCTTAAAAAAAAAAAAGTGTATTCTTTAACATTATTTCCCATGCCTCTCGAACCCTCTCAGTTTAAGGAAGAAAAATAGAAAAAGTAGATCAATGTTCCTAAAATAAAGCAGTTGCTCTTCATCTTGCTTTACCTTTATGGATTTTTGTCTGAATGTTTATCATGTGGGGTTTATTTTGTGGGTAGTTTGGTTGACCACTTCTATATATTTCTTGTTCAGTTTTGGAGTATGTGGAAGGCAAATGAGTCTTTAAAGTTGCTGGCCCGCCTGGTGGTTTTGGAGAAAGTACCTCACGGAAGTATTTCTAAGAAGGATTTTTCAAGTTGTTTTGTATTTCAAAAGTTCTCCCCTGCAATTAAATTTTTTACCAAACAATTTATTTGGATTAACCTGGATGTCAAATACTCAAAATCCTCTGTGGAATCTAATTCCATGAAACTAAACTGATTTTTGTGGGAGTTTTCGTACATTTGATCTCCTCTGCTGATTGTATCAGTGATGTTGGAGTCTTTGATTGGATTTCAAGAAATTGTAGGTTTATGGTGTACTTGTATACTAGATCATTTGGTATATAATCTTGTTTTCAAGTTAAATTGGTCCTAATGACGGGCCAATGTGATTTTCATGCTTAAAAGTCTTGTGTCATTGATGGCTCGATAATTTTTGGGAGTTTAGTAAGCTGTTGTAAGTAGCCTTTTTTTAGTGATAACGGTATTATTCACTATGGCATTTTAAGAATTGTACCTGACCACATGGATATTTTCTCCTCCTGGTGGTTTGGTGATTTTTCTTTTTTAAGTACCTGGAGGCTTTTTTTGATTGAACTATTTGATGATTTGACTTGTTGCTTATGGTATACGTTGGTTTGTTTTGACAGCCGTGTGTGTGGAAAATCCCATGGTATTATCAGAAAAGTATGGTCTGATGTGCTGCAGGCAATGCTTCTACAGTAATGCTAAGAAGATTGGATTCATTAAGGTAATGGATTTGAAGTTTTAAGAAAGGAATGATTGTATTGTTACCTTCTTCTAAAAAAAAAAACTAATAGAGCTACTATGATGTGGATGTTGTTTTCATTGTCATGTCAATATTCATATTCATGTTACGATCTGATTGTGCATTTAAATTTTCTTGTGCCTGCGGTTATAGATACGAGTATATGCCAATTTAACAATTTTGTAGTTGGTTGTTGGCATGCTGTGATACTGAGTTATGGGTCTTGTTTCTCCATTTTTGTTTCCGTCTTGAATAAATTACTAAATCATTCTGAATTTTCTTTCATTTGTCGTTGCAATATCATTGAAAGAATAGGTCGTTGCTTCCTTGCTAGCGGATTTTGTCGAGCAAGCTGCCATTAGAGATAAATGGATCCCAAGTTGTTATTTGCTTTGTATTTTGAACAATTTTGGCTGTTCTAATTTGCCATTGAACTTGAATTGATATGTGAATCAACAAATTCTACCACATGCTGTTCTTGAATATAGGGTATCGCATATTTTCTTGAGGTTATCCTTGGCGTGACTATTTTGTGAATGCAATTATGGTCAATATATAAGAAATTGATGAATTGCAGGCAATGTTTTTAATTAGTCGGTTAATTCTCTTGAACTGATTATTCTGGATCGCATATGTTTTTTGTGTCGATGCCATGATAAATCGGTTAAATTGGTTCTCGTTCATTGTGAGCAAATCTAGATTTGTATTGGAACAGATTGCCTTTCTTTATTTTATTTAAATCAGTTGAGGGGATCTTTGCAAGACATTTCTTATCATTTTACTATTGCAACAATTACTGGAAAATGCAGTGCCAAGGTACATTTATGCAAAAAAGCAATCGATATGGTAACTAAAAAGATTCATTTGTTTAAAATATATTTCATCATCTTCAAAATGTCTCTCTTTTTGCTTCGGTTCTTCCATTTCTTTTTCCTTCATTGGGTTTCCAACACTTGAAAAACTAATGAATTTCTTCTCTAGGAATTCTGTGCCAAGTTGGTCATTAGCACAGAAAATTGTCTATTGTTAAAACCTTTTGAATATTTGTTTTATGAGCCTTAAGTGGATATTAAACCAAGTATTTTCAGCAATCTTTTTTTGACTAATTGTTTCTGATTCATTGGATCTTATAAATGGTTTTCCTGTTTCTAGGTGGTTCAAGGTTTGCCCAAGACAAGGATTTTCAAATATTAGATTCTAAGCACCTACTTGAAATAGTGAGTAAGTTATTTTTTTAATTAAACACCTTAAATGTTCAGGAAAATGCCAATTTTCATCCTTAAACTTAGGGTTTTGGGTAGATTTCACACTCAAACTTTCTGACATAACATATTTAGTATCCGAACTATCAACTTTCAACCAATTTCATTCTCAAACGGGAAATTAATCAATTTGAATGGAAATTGGAGTTGGGAAAGTGAAAATAGCTATTCTATTTTTGTTGATTTTAAGTCGTGCAGGATTTTTTACTCAATAGGTTCATGCTCATCAGGTGCTCAATTTCCATTCAAATTAATTAGTTTCCCATTTGAGGATTAATTGGTCAAAATTTGATAGTTTAGATTCTAAATGTGTTATACCAGAAACTTCGAGGATGAAATGTATTCATAACTCAAAATTTAGAGATGAAAAGTGGAATTTTCCCTTAAATGTTCTATTCATTCACCAAAAAAAGAATTAACTTGCTGCATAACTGTAGTTTTGCCTCTTTAATCATAGCCTGCGATGTTTAGTAGCTTAGAAAATTCAGTTTTAGTTGATTTAAATCTATATTTACAAAACAGGGTGTTCTCCTAGATTCGTAACATCTCAGTAAGATAAAGTCTGGAAAACTGAACCTTACAACAAATTTATTTTACTTTGTAAAAATGAACGTAATTGAAGAAAGCTTACACAGGAAATTTTGCAAAAAACATGAAGATGGTGCTCCAATTGATAGGTTCAAAGAGGTGCTACAGACCTTCAATTTGTCTTGAAATTTTTATACAGGAAAGAACTTAAAGAAAGGGCATATTACTTTTGAAGAAGATTTGGTAAAACTCACTGATTTGTTTTAATAGGATGGATAATCTGTAGTAAATATGACACATCCAGATGTTCCAATATGAGGTGCCTCTACTTTGAGATAAATCACACATACTTCTTCCTAGAGTTTGCAAATACAGTCATTGCTTCGACACATTCAATTTTTTTTTTTCCTTTTTTTGTTCTTTTGGTGTTAGTTTTCTAAGTAGATTATTGGTTGTTGTTACAGGAAGGAATATAAAGACTTGAAGTTGACATCTCTAACAAGTAGATAAAGCTGGTAATATTTATTTGTGTTCTACCATTTACCATATTGTCATTTTCTATAAACAGTCTCTCACCTAATTTAGCCTATCTTGATTGCATTATTGATAAAGATGTGCTGAGAAATGAGCTTCAGTTATAGATCCAAATGGTGTTTTTTTCCTATTCCTCATGAGATTTGCTTCGGTTGTATGCTTTCTTCTCTCAAGTTAATTTGATAAGTTATTCTGTTTAGTGATTTATTACATGGACGCTTGTCTTGAAAGATTTGTATTGATCATCATTTAAGCTGCGAGGAATGAATGAAAAAAAAACATACCTAGCAGAAAACCCTTCATCTTTTTTCGAGTTCTTTGGCACATTGTGATTTCTTTCACTGGCTGGTCCTTATTGAATCATCAAAACAAATCTAATCTTTTTATGTTGGCAAACCTCAATCATCTCCTCTTTTGAATACCTCTGATTACTCCTTTTCAGAACTCAAGCAGACCATAACTAGGGAAAAATATGAGGTTATGATTGTATAGAGACTCGTCCAAAGGATGGCTTTTGAAAACTTATCAGTAGTAGGGTTTCAAAAGGCATTCTTGGAGTTGCTGGAGTTACAAGGAATTAATATGGATTTTGGACCATCGGATCAGTAAAATATTAGGAATAACTTCCAATCTTCTAGCTTAACTTTTGGGATTGAGAGGAGGACTAAGGATAACTATAGATCATTATTGCGACAAACCGGTATTGGAAGTTGATGCTAATAATATTTTTAATCTTTTAAACCATTATGATACTGCTATTTACAATGTGCTATGGTTACATCTGATTGTAAGTATCTTCTCGTATTTTGGCAGCAAGTCTTGTTCAAAGCATATAAGCAGTGAAGCAAGTCGGATGGTAGGTTGTTTAGCTAATGTATAGGATGCTAACAACATGATATCTTTTATTATGATGTTATGTCCCACCATTTTTCATTGCAGCAAGATGATTGTTTAGGGATTTTATTCTCGTTTTGTATCTCGATATGATTGCATATTATTTTAAAGTTCCTTTTATGCAAAAAAAATCCAAAACTACTAAAAGCTAAATTTGTAGCTTATTTTCACTATTTAATAAAACTGCAAAAATATTGATGCACTTTTACATAACTTTTCATATTTAATATCTAACTTTGAAAAATTGGGCATTTATGGGCACAATTGAAAATTACACCGCACATCGTGCGGTGTTATCCTCCTAGTTTTGTTTAAAACACTCAAATGTTGGGCACAAATTTGCCCCTCAACGTTCACAAGCCCGAGGTCTGTTGTCGGCTCGCGCCTCACGTTACTGATCAGATGTTCAGGCGGCCCGGGCTCATTTATGCTCTCTAATTTTCATTTTTACTTTTTTTGGTTAATTTATTGAAATAAAAATGTTCCTAATATAAAAAGCTATTGCAACCTCTCAAAGAGAGAAAAAAAAAAAAGAATTTTCATTATGTAAACTAAATAGAACATTTGTATTATTTTAAAAGAAAATAGAGTTTTTTTTTTTTTGTTTACCAGCAAACTCCGTCGACAAGGTGAGGATCCCAAACTCTTGTTTTATTAATAAAAATGGAAAATAATTACAAAGAGTTTAAGAAAATACCAAACAAAGAGTTCAAGAACTTCCTAACATAGGAGTACTACTCCTTTACAAAAAATGTACGTATTGATGAAAACCCTTTACAATCTAATAACATTGATGTCCAAATAATTCAAGGAAGCTGGTGATATGACGTGCAATAAAGCTCAGAGGAAAATTGCAAGTTTGCCAATTTATTCGCCACAGAATTGGCCTCTCTAAAATTATGTGAAATCGAAGATGAAAAGGAATTTAACAAAACTTTTATCCTTTGCAATGTATTGTACAATGGCCACTTCGACATCATTCTTGAATTCATCAAACGGACCAAAAGAGAGTTTAATTTCTTCAATTTTGTGTAATAAAAATAATAAGTACAAGATTCAAGCATGGATATAATGTTCTAAATTGCACATTCAACTCTTAAATTGGATCTTTTTTTCATCTCTTTGTTATTGAAGGGTTATGACTGTATTTTGATATACTAGTCCAATTGAAATTGTGTGGGCAGTTACAATAATTTGCTTATCTCAAATATAGAACATCAGAGCTAACTTGAACAAACTTCATAGTGTTCTCATCTCTATTATTGAATCATACTTAGATAAATATATATATATATATATATGTATATATGTATATCCTAACACAATGTACACAAATACATCCCCTATCCATAAATTCTTATACTTTACTAGGATCTCGTTGAAAATATATGATTCACAAGGCACAAGTTCAACCCTATCTAAAATTAAGTTTAAAATTGCAATCCAAGTTTGGTATGACCTTTTCTAATGTTAATTTGTTTAATGGTTATAACTCCATGAAAAAAATAGTAAGAGGTCCAATTGAGTTTAGTCAATTAGCATCAATCGAGATTGATTTATCATCAATCAAACTAAAATCGAATAAACTCTATCATTGACTACTTTCTCAAACACATATCAATCTATTGATTTATCATCAATCAAACTAAAGCAGAATAAAAATTATTATTGAATAACTTCTCAAGCACATATCAATTTTCAATTAAGAAGCATAAAATACAATACTAGCATTGTGCTAATCAATGTAGATTCAAGCTTGGCTCTTTCAAACACAATTTTAACAATGCAAATTATTTGACGTCTAGAAAGAATATAGAGAGGAGTAAAGGGATATTATATGCAAATATGGCAATAGTTGGAGGTGAAAGTTGAAAGTAACCCGTGATAAAAAGTGAATCCGCTTTTGTTCAATTATCCGGGGCGTTTTACATTCCAATATTCCCCTTCCACTACAATCCATGAATATCTCCCTCAGCGCTTCCCACGACTAGCGAGGGTTCTTTGCCGATAAAAAGCTTAGTCCCATTTAGCAGAAAGAACCCAGAACCACCCCCGCCCCAAAAAAAGAATCTTCTTGCTCTTGTTCTTTTGCCACTTCTTCAGGAGGAGGGGATTAACTGATTACTTCGTTTCCGTGGGTCCATTTTTGCGTCTGAAATTCTCAGTTATTTTCACAGACTCGAAGCAGACAAAAGATGGGAAGGGGAAAGTTTAAGGGAAAGCCCACCGGTCGCCGCCAATTCTCTACTCCTGAAGAGATGAGTATGTCACTGCTTATTTGGTTTGGATTGAATTAAGTCGGAAATTTCCAGTTTCTGATTGTGGATCTGATTTTTTATTAGATAGATTGATTGAAGGTTTACTTAAATTGGGTCTGTTGTTTGGTTTAGTTTGCAAGCTGTTGGGATCTCTCAGCTGACTTTTGGCTGATCTTTATGATGGGTTTGGTTAATTATTAGATACATATGTATACATACTATATTGTTTGAATAAAAAATTGATGTCTAAGTTTGGATTTCTTTTGAGAAATTGAGTTCGGAATTTTGTTGTCTTATTAAGATTGGGCCTGCTGTAAAGTGTAATTGACTAATTCTGAAACCAACTTTCTGTTGGGTCGGATGGATTGAGAACAAAATTGTCTAGTATTCACGCGGACTAGATTCACGATAAGCTTATACTATCACTTATTTTGAATAAATAAAATAAAGAACACTGTATCATCCAACGTTTGTGTTCCCGTCCATTGTTTGAGATATTACAGTACAGCACAGCTGTGTAGAGTACAGTTGCGTATTAGATTAATAATTGCCTTAATAAGAGAATTTGGTAGCATGGTAGATAGTGTGGTTATCTGTATTAATTATCAGAAATTTGTACTGTGTCTTGTAAGAAATGGCTATGTGCTTGGTTATCTATGAGTTTGGAAGTATATTACTGAAGATGTTGAGAAGGAAGTAGAGAAGTCTAATTAGGAACTATGTACAGAGTTAATAACTCGTGATTTAGTCTTAACAATAGTTTTTGACAATGTCTAATTCTGATCATGTGATTTAGTCTAATATTGGCATTTGTACATGGTGCAGCAGTCAAGTTTGTTGTGCAACTCATATATAGTGTACTGACCTGTCTTTGACTTGTACATGTGAATTTGGGTATTACACGGCCAGGCTTGATTTTGGTATAGCAGTTGTTGAGTTTAAGGTTCTTATAAAGAAGCTTTCATTTACTGAAGAGTGTCAGATTAGTTCATTTGGAGGACCTATTTCTTCTTCATTTTATTTCATGTTTGGGTCCTTTTTGCATGATAAGGGGGCTTTCTTTTTAGCTTTATTTTGTCATTATACATTTTTTTTTTTGGAGTGGAAGGGGTTATTTAGGAATCTGAACCATGCTTGAATCTCTTGATATTTCAGTGTGAGTGGCTTATTAAATTGTAGTCTCTAAAGAAGCTACCGAATTAATAAGTTTCATTATGGAAACTGAAAATTATGCTGTCCATTGTAGTTTCTCACATGTGTTTGAAAATTTCATACATGTGGATTAAGGGTTTGTGTTGAAGTAATGTACAGTTGCTTAACATAGCTTTGTTTCCTCTGACAATGTAACAGTTGCTGGAACATCTGCTCCTCGTCCTCGCACATTCAGACAGGTAGATATATTTGCTTTGAACTCCGGTATATAACAACTCACTGATGGTATTCTACAAATCTCTTTTCTACAGGCTATTCATCTTTGGTTGGGCATGCTTACCCTTTCCTTAAATTCTCCATGATCCGTTTTACGTAATTAATATATTTATTGACTGGTGCGCTGCAAAACATTGAGAACTAAATATCTGAACATTAATCAATGGGATTATTTGGGGTCATGGCTTCAAGTCTACATAACTTAATGGAAAATGAGTTTTGGATGTTCTATATTGTACTTGTTAAACCTATAGAAGTGACTAACTAGGGATGCAGTTGATAAGACAGCATCAGAATGCTTAAGATGTGCACAAAAACTTTTGAGTTACTTGATAAGTGTTAAAAAGATAATTTTGCTATCTGATGTTCAAACACAAATCATTAGTGATGTTTGATAAATTAACTGTATATAGGGAGTCTCGAACTTTACCATTTTGCTGGGCCAAGTAATTGACTTGTGTGTGAAGAGGCATGGGGATGTGAAGGAAGGGTATCGAGGGAACCTTGTCCTCGTACAAATTTATCTCTCCATGTGTGCATATCATTTGATGCATCATGTTATGTCACAGTGGATATTACAAATTCTTATAAAATGTGAAATACTATTTGAAAAGAAGTATAATTTATTTAAGTAAATGCCCCCTTATATTCATTTCGAAAATAATAGGGGTCAGTAAGATTATGCTTTCTATTGACTGCGGAGGATTGTAATGATACCTTACTTGTAACAAAGAAGGAAAATTCAATTTTGCTGCAGAATTGAACTTTGAAGTGCTGAAAAAAGCAATTCACATTATTATACCAAACATTATTCAGCACATAACCACATCGAGAGCTCAGTTGGCAAGCAATTAGGTTACTGTATTGAAAGTGTAATGTTCAGAAAGCTGATACCCCTGGCTTGTATTCCCCAGAGATAATTAGGCAGGGAAGGCTCAAGTTGTGATATATGGAATGGGGATGCAGAGGAAGAGAGTGTGTGGATAGGGACGAGTTTGAAGAGTGACCCTTATGATGGGTTGGAGGAAAAGTTCTAGTGGTATATAAGTTAAATGCGTCTTTAAGGTTCAAGTGAATCACTTGCTAGGGATTAATTTTTGTTGGCTTTCATTTTGAGATACATCAGTCTAGGATTTCTATCATAGTTATCAAATTGTTTTAGATTATTAAGTCCCATTGTCCTCGCCCTGTCCATCCAATGTGCAAAAGAAGTGGAATAAAATGCCAATGGTAGTTGATTTACTCTTGGTGGATTATGTCAGATTTGGCATAGTTTTGTAAGCTTCTAGGTAAGAGGTGATGTCAATGTATTATGTGTTGGATGGGACAGGATAGTTGAACGGTTTCAAGCTGTTACTTATCTGTTTCCATTTCGTGAATATTAAATATCCATTTGTGCTTTCTTAAATGCTTGGGATCTAAAGGTTTTCTGAGACTGTATGTTGATTGGAACACCCCCCCCCCCCC